AGGATTACCCTTATCATAGATAAGCCTGTTCATTTCATTTTTCAAAAAATAATTATGGGCACTTATTATCTTCCAGGCACTGTTCTAGGCTCTTGGGGGGTTTATCGATGAATAAAACAGACAAAAATCCCTGCCCTTGAGGAGTCTACATTCTTGGCCTGAGAAATTAAAGGGAGGCATGCTCTGCCTGTAATGCTGCTGTCCCTCAGCACACAGTGCGTCCCCAGCCCTTGGAACCTGGGGCTGAGTGGCTGGTGTAGATGATTCTGATGCAGACCACCAGGCATCAGGGCCTCAGAGCAGCCACAGTGGAGTCCAGTTGATAAGAGCTGAAATTGTGTTAGCAAGGAGATGGATGTCTGAGCAGGCAGAGCAGCCAAGGAATACTGGGATTGATAGGAAGGAGAGAAGGAGTGTCCCCCATGTCTTTCTGCCAAATCATCCCTTGCTTTCTTTCCTGGGCCACAGCAACTGTTTACGGCCCCCCCCAACCACCTCACCTTCACTCTAATAATAAAGGACAATTATGTGTAAGGAGCTGTTCCACAGCCTAGGCGTGGCCTGTCACCCCTCCAAAACAGAGCTAAGCATCCCTGTGTATACATACTTCTCCCCGCTAGAAGCAATATGGTGTAGAGTAGGTCGCACACTTGGTTGGGTATCAGATTGGCCTACTGAATAGGGAGGTGACCAAAAGCTGTTTTCACAAGCTTTTCAGACTATTCTGATACAGCGAGCTGGGCACCCAAGCTTCAGAGCAGCCAATATCCTTCAAAGCCTGCTGTGATTTGTCCCCAACCCTCCACAATTATCTCTGCCTCATCTTCTGCCACCACCATCCGCCCCTTTCCTCACGCCCTCAGGACTCTGCTCAAATCTTATCTTGTTGGTGAATCTCTCCCAGACCATATTTAAATATAGCAAACCCTCAACTCCTGCTCTCTCTATCCTTTTACCCTCCTGTTTTCTTTTCCCCAAGCACTTATTCCACCTGAGATAGTATTGGTGAACTGGAGCTTACTCACAAGGGCTTACAAAAATCGACTGTTATGTTTTGGGAACTCTGCAGGCTGGTTGTTAAACATAGCCATCATTAAAATTTAAATTATATAAACTTACGGTTAAATAAATGATGCTAAAAACAAAGGTGAAGCCAGCCACGGTGGTTCACACCTATAATCCCAGCACTTTGGGAGGCCAAGGTGAGAGGATTGCCTGAGCCTAGGGGTTTGAGACCACCCTGGACAACTTAGTGAGACCTCATCTCTACAATAAATCAAGAAAAATTAGTTGGGTGTGGTGGCGCACACCTGTAGTTCCAGTTACTTGGAAGGCTGAGGTGGAAGGATTGCCTGAGCCCAGCAGGTTGAGGCTGCAATGGCCATGAGCATGTCACTCCATTCCAGCCAGGAGACAGAGTGAGGCTCCAACTCAAAAACAAAACAAAACAAAAACAAAGATGAAAAATGCTAAAGCTTGTCACTTGCTAATTTTTTTACTATCTTTTACTGTTACTTATGTTCTTGCAATTTACATCTGTGTATCTGTACAGTAGAAATATATGAGGGGGACCCCCCAAAACCCCGAGACTGTCTTTTGGAAAGCAGGCACCTTGTAGTACAGCCTTCCTTCACTAGGTAAATGTTCTAAGAACCCATTGGCATCTGTGTACTATCTAGCGTTGTTGTGAGAGGCTATGTTTTGCTTCAGTGAGTTTTTTTAATAGATTCTTTCAACACGTTTGTCCATTTCATGATTGGTGATTTAGGAGTGCACCTGCTCACACCATGCTGAGTGTTCAGCAGTTTTTTTGACAAAAAAATGGCACGACCACGTGCCCTACCCTCCCTCTTCACCTGATCTTTGCTGATGTGGAAGAGGTGAAACCAAAAAACAGCAGAAACACTAAAAGGTATCAAAATCAATGAATGCAAAAAACTGTTTTGAGCAGTGGAAAAAGCATCTTGATGGTTGTATTACACCAAACAGAGAGTACTTTGAAGGTGACAAGTTTAAACGTATGAATAAATAAATAAATTCTGTTTTTAAATATATATATAATGGCATGCTACCGTGAATGTCTACCCAACTCCAAGCTCAGTGACATCAATTGTAGCTTGAAATCAGCTGTAATGAGTTTTACATCACAGAAATAGGTAAACATGATAAATTGGGTTTTAATTAATAGTGTTGTAAACTGTCTAGACCCAGGGTTGGCTATGGGCCTACCAACTTTTTTTTTTTTTTTTGAGTCAGAGTCTCACTGTCACCCAGACTAGAATGCAGTGGCATGATCAAGGCTCACTGCGGCCTCGACCTGCTGGGCTCAGGTAATCCCTTCAGCCTCTTCCTCCCGAGTAGCTGGGACTACAGGCACAGATCACCATACTGGTTACTTAAAAAAAATTTTTTTGTAGAGACAAGGAATAACTATATTGCCCAGGCTGGTTTCAAATTCCTGGGCTCAGACAATCCTTCTGTCTCTGCCTTGCAAGTAGCTGGGACTACAGGCACGCGCTACCATACCTAGATTAATTTTTGGATGATTTACACATTATCTACGGCTGCTTTCAAAATTCGACAGCAGAGATTAATAGCTATAACTATATGGCTTGTAAAATCTAACATTTACCATCAGGTCCTTTACAGAAGAAATTGCTGATGTCTGGTCTAGCCTTAAAAAAGTAATGGAGGCCGGGCTCGGTGGCTCAGACTGTAATCCCAGCGCTTTGGGAGGCCGAGATGAGCGGATTGCCTGAGCCCTCGGGTTCAAGACCCGCCTGGGTAGCGAGACCTCATCTCTACAATAAATCAAAAAATCAGCTGGGCATGGTAGCACATGCTTGTAATTCCGGCTACTTGGAAGGCTGAGGCGGAAGGATCACCGGAGCCCAGCAGGTCGAGGCTGCGGTGGCCGGGAGCGGCCACTGCACTCCAGTCTGGGCGACCGAGTGAGACTCCGACTCAAAAAAAAACAAAAAAACAAAAGTAATGGAAAGCCGGGCTCGGTGGCTCAGCCTGTAATCCCGCGCCTTTGGGAGGCTGAGGTGAGTGGATTGCCTGAGCCCGTGGGTTCGAGACCCGCCTGGGCAGGCGAGACCTCATCTCTACAATAAATCAAAAAATTAGCTGGGCGTGGTAGTGCACGCCTGTAATTCCGGCTACTCGGAAGGCTGAGGCGGAAGGATCGCCGGAGTCCAGCGGGTCGAGGCTGCGGTGGCCGGGAGCGGCCATTGCACTCCAGTCTGGGCGACAGAGTGAGACTCCAACTCAAAAAAAAAAAAAGTAATGGAGAGCTGGAAGCAAAAAGTAATGGAGAGCTGGATGCAAAAAAAAAAAAAAGTAATGGAGAGCTGGATGCAAAAGCCTGTAATCCCAGCACTTTGGGAGGCCAAGGTGAGAAGACTGTCTAAGCTCAGGGGTTTGAGACCAGCCTGGGCAACTTGGTGAGACTTCACCTCTACAATAAAAAATAAATTTTAAAAAAAGCTGGATGTGGTAGCGCACACCTGTAGTTCCAGTAACTTGGAAGACTGAGGCGGGAAGATCGCCTGAGTCCAGCAGGTTGAGGCTGCTGTGACCATGAGCATGCCACTGCACTCCAGCCTGGGTGATAGAGTGAGACTCCAACTCAAAAAAAAAAGTTATAGGAGATGAAATCAAACAGCAGCCAGGTGCAGCGGCTCATGCCTGTAATCCCAGCACTTTGGAAGGCAGAGATGAGAGGATTGCCTGAGCCCACGGGTTCGAGACCGGCCTGGGCAACATGGCAAGACCTCGTCTCTACAATAAATGAAAAAATTAGCTGGGTGTGGTGGCACATACCTGTAGTTCCAGCTGCTTGGAAGGCTGAAGCAGAAAGATTGCCTGAGCCTAGCAGGTTAGGGTGGCAGTACCTGTGAGTGTGCCATTGCACTTCAGTCTGGGTTACAGAGTAAGACTCTGACATACCAAAAAAAAGTGAAGAAAATGTTAATAATGCAGATTAAATGTAAATAGGTGTTGGGTCTGTAGCTGTTACGTTTGTAAATAGCAAAAACAAAAATGAGAAAATGTACTTCTAGTATTCAAAAACTATAATTCAATTCAGTAAATAAGTCAAACAGATCATTGACAAACATGTTAAATTCCTATGTCTTTGTTTTTTAACCTTTTCCCTTTCTTCTTACTCTTTAGCATGAATGAAAATACCAACATTCACATTGGTACCACACTTATTTACCCATTACAACCACAGGTTGGCTATGGATAGATGCGTTAGGCAAAACCCAAGAAAAGCATACTGTAAGAAGCAATTGGCTAGTGGAATTTATGGTAAAGAGTACTGTAGAATGTTATTATTGTTTATTTCCAGCCATGAAATTTATAATAAGCACACACACATATATATACTTTGTTTCAATTAGTAAACATCACATGCACGCGCGTGTGCGCGCGCGCACACACACAGTTTTGTTTGCCTCCACTAGAATGTAAGCTTGGGAGTAAGAATTTTGTTATTCTAGTACTTAGAAAAGCACCTGGCATGTAGCAGGCACCCAGTATATACACAATATGACTGAATAGATGAGCATAGCTTGGGACTCCCTGATTTCATGGTTTGAATGTCAGACCTTGGTTAGGTTTCCAGCCCACCATTATCCAGCAGTGTTGCCTTGAGTAAATTATTTAAGCTGTTTGAACCTTGGCTTCCTCATTTAAAAAGAGGGGATAATCCTCTTACCTCACAGGGAGGTTGTGACAATGTACGCTGCTGCCTGTCGCCTACTGTCTCTGTCTCTCCACAGATGGGAGTTTCCATCTCACCCTTCATCCTCCACCTCTGCCACCCACACTCCTTGGAGACCCAGCCCTGCTGCTGTCACATTTCAGTGATGTCACAGCTACCCCCCTGGGAAAGCCAGCACCATCATCTGATGCCCAGCCTAAGTGCTGGCTGATCTGAGAAGGGCAGGTGGTACCTGGTATCAGTCTTGGTCCATCTGTCTTTGAGCCCCAGCATGAGCCCATCAGCAAAGAAGAAGCCCAAGAAGAGCGTGGTTTCCAAGGTCAGGCTTGGATGGGACCCTGGGGGTAAGCCACCTGGAGGGGACCTTGGCAAAGTCTCCAGCCACACCAAGGACAGGGGCTTTTCAACTTGGGGGGGAAAGGTGAAGGATGAAGGGAGATCAGGAGAGTTAAAATGGTCTCCCCAGTTTTGCCCCCAAACCAAGGTGACAAAACATTCAGTTTGGGTTGGTCAAACCATGCTCTGCCAAGTGGAGAGGCATAATGAAGGGATTCAGGTGAATTCCTCTGTGTTCCCTCTTTCTCTCTCACCCCTCTGTTCCTCAGATGCAAAGTGAGAAACTGCAGGACAAGATAAAGCAGCCTGTCAACAAAGTAATTGAGCGAAACCGACTTAGAACGGTGAGATGCCCCATTCTGGTCCCAGCTTGGTGAGGCTTGGAGCACCACACAGTGCTGTCTCTGGCTGCCAGGCTGAGTGACACAGAAGGGTCAGCAGGCCCAGCCTTCAGCTGAGTTGAGACAGGGGCAGGCAGAGGAGTGGGAGGCTATCCCAGGAGAGCTGAAGCTTCTATTTTTCTGGTTTCTCATCTCTGGCAGGTATTTAAAAACTTGTCGCTCTTGAAGCTACTCAAGAGCTCGAACCGTCGGATCCAAGAACTGCATAACCTGGCCAAAAGGTGTTGGAATTCACTGCTCAGAGTTCCACAGAGCCTCCACATCTCCTCTGGGTGAGCTCGGCCCACCCATGGCCCCCATGATAGACTCCATAGCTATCTTTCCTGGGAACAGGCATTGTGCTAAGGATTTTAGAGAACAAATCTAATTTTCACAAAGGCTCTATGAGGAATTTATTGGTCCTAGTTTACTGATGGAGACCTGAGGTTCAAGAGTGAAGTGAATTGTTTCAATTAACTGAACTGGAAAATGGCAGAGCTAGGATTTGAAGTCATTCCTGTCTGGTATCAGAGCTATGGTCACAGCAACGGTTATACTTATATAATCAGGGTCTCACCTCAAGTCACTCCTCCTGGCCGCATCCGAAGTCAACACAACCTAGATATTCACCTGCAGCCTGGCCCCTGAAGGTTGAGAATTAATCTTTCTGAGGCTCAGTTCCTCATAAGTAATATCGGATTTTTTTTTTTGAGTCGGAGTCTCACTTTGTCGCCCAGGCTGGAGTGCAGTGGCCACTCCCGGCCCGACCTGCTGGGCTCCAGTGATCCTTCCGCTTCAGCCTTCCAAGTAGCTGGAACTACAGGCGTGCGCTACCAC